AACAACATCAAGTAATACGTAATCTGCAAAAATCCTGATGAAGATGAGAATAAAAAATGAACGAAATAAAACAATGTAAATGACAAACAAGAAAAACTCATTAAAATATTTCAAAATAAAAAAACACCAACAGCAACAACAACAACATTACCATTAACAAGTTCCTTTGGTTTGTGTGGTGTTTTTTTTCTCGATGACATGACTTTAGGGGTGCCGGGCCATAAGCGGGGTGACAACAAAAAATAAAATAAACAAATGACTGTCTTTGGAAGATATATGTATGGTATTTATTTATATAGAAATGTATGTATATGTGTCTGTGTGGGACACGCAGAAGCTTCTTAAGATTTACTTTTCACTTGGGGGATAATTATGGAAACAAGTCAAGCAACCTGCGCTACGCTACGCTTGGCCTAAGAACCTGCAAGCAATGTTAATGCGCGTTGTAAGTGTCCTATTTTTCTTGTTAACATTCGTGGCGGCAATGACAAAAAACACAAAAAAAGCGAAAAGAAGAAAATGACTGACGAGCTGCTGGTTGCTACTGTGTGCGACAGAAAACAATTGTTTATTTGTCTGGCTGGCTGGTTGGTTGGTTGGCAGCGAATGACATACACATTGACAAATAGCGACTTAAATACAATCAAACACACACACAAGCACACCCACACAAATGAAGTAGCAGAAGAACATCTACTTCTTCATTTTTGTGCCACTGACAGACAGACAGACAGACGAACACCCAGTTTATATTGTGTGTAAGTACACATTTCTAACATGACTTTAATTCGGGTTCCATTAACTGAGATGGGTTTTTCCTGTTGCGCTGCCTAATCCCAGTCTTGGAGAAGACGATGCCCACCCTCGCCCTCACCCCTTCGCCTCGCTAAACTTAATATCCCAACTGTATACACATTAGTGTGACAATGCTCATTGCTGTCGTCGTTATTGTTGTTGTTGCTACTGCTGATAATCATGTTGTATATCCTTAAATAGCAAAAAACACAGTGACAACAACAGCAAGAACAAATACCTGTTTGTATGAACTTTGACTTAATAATAATGTCTTTGCTGTTAGTATTTAAGATTAACTTCTACAAATAAACATAATGTTAATTAAAACATTGACGCTGCTGCTCTTTCTGCAACATGGATGAGTTGCTGGCAGCACCTTGGTGTTTGGAAGAGAGTGTGTGTCTGTATGTTTGTGTATTTTCATTATTACTAATTATTAGAACGTAATAAACAAATGTAATTATGTAGTGTTGTTGTATCACACAATTAGAAGGTGAGATGGAGGAGGGAAACATACAATGGAATGCATAATTTTTTTGACAGATTATAATTATATCATTGGGTGTTGACATATAATCTTCCACAGAGCTGCATATAGGGATTTGAGGATGATAAAAAAATATCTGTGATGTACATTTTCTTTTCCTGGACTGATACAGAATTTAGTGTTGATGGTGTTAAATGGAATATCGTTGGGTTAGGTAAAATACTATGGATACACAAAGTCCACATTCAAACATTCCAAAATAATATCAGTTCTGCAACTTTGGGCATATCTGATAGAGATTTGATTGATGGTTTTAATTAAATATCGAAAACAAAACTCCAGATACAGTACATCCAAAAAGAGATCTATTGACCAAATTCTCCCTTGATTTCAATTGGGATTTAAGGATTTTAACTTATCCAAGTGATGACCTGAATATATTACTAAACAAGTAGAATGGCGATTTACATCCTGAGGACGACCTGGCTCATTGTATATACATCAGGTTATTTTCCTGGTATACATGGATCTATACCTGTCATTCTCCATCCTGTGGAGGGCTCTTAATATCAACATATCGAAAATGGAATTATTGTCAAATCAAGCCGATAATACGGTTCCATATTATAACTCTTCGCATGCAGTATAAAATTAAAAAAAAAAAAAAAATCATGATTTGAAAAATGCATTATATTACATGTTTTTAAATTCAAGAGATGTCCTGTCAGAAACAGTGACTTAAAATTATAAAAAAAAATGGGAAACCTACCCAAATCCATTAGGTTTTTGACAAAATAGCTATTTCCATTAATCAATTTGGAAATTACGCATGCTTTACTCAAATTAATATAAAATTTCAAAATTTTCTGCCAAAAAAATTTAGAAACTTTTATCATTATATTGGGAATAGTCAGATATATGTAAAATAATATATATTTGAAAATAACTGTATATGCTGATAATATTGAAATAAATGACGTTTACTACATTTATTACATTTTATACAGGTATATGACGTTTTCGACGTTTACACCTTTTTGACAGTCGAAAACCTAAAAACGTCACACGGACCAATATAAAGCCCTTCTTTTCGATGGCAAGCATGATTTCCGACTACAGGAAATTATCCGAATTAAAATATTCTAGGATTTGGAATTTTATTTACTAGGATTATTAACTTCGCACAAAAATTAACAAAATGACCGACCTATAACATTTGATTTTTTGTAAAATTCATTTTTTCGACCTCAAATCAACCTCAAAAAAACACTATTTCGAAAAAAAACGCGTTTAAAGTTTGAGAAGCACTCTTGTCGTCAGTTGATGCTATCAAAATAAATCGACTTTAACTTCAAGAGCTGTTAAAATTTTCTCTTGCAATGTTATAGGTACATTCTTTAGTTAGTGCAGGTTCGAATAAAATAAACAAAATTAAATTTTTGGATACTGAGAATGGGGGAGTTTCCGTAAATCGGCCAGCAACTTTAAATGGGGACTATGTTTCCGGAAAGATGTTTTTTATTCTTCCGGTATGAATATTTAACACTCCATGAGAAGCTGAATATCAAATCAGACCACATTTGCTTGAAGTATCAAAAATACCGAGTATTAGGGGCTACCCGGACATATGGGTCAATGTTAATATTTTGTAGACAGATTTTCGATTCAATGAGGATCTAATATATAAAATTATAGTCAATTTTGTTGGAACACGTGCCTAATTTGGGATCTAGCGTTTTATGGGGATTACCCTAAAAAGTGGGGCAATATTAATAATTTTTTGTGGGAAGATTTTCTATCCCGATGAGATCCCGAGCCTAAAATATTTAAAATACCTAAAGATTGAATCAATATATCCTATTTTCTCTACCAAGCATTCTAGGTATAGTAGCAATATATGTGCAAAATGTCAATGATCACAGTGTTCAATGATGATACAATATTTAAATTCCTCTTCATAGAAAAAGGTCGGGGGAACCTCGAACCATGATCCCATATTACTAATTATATGCAAATTAACTACCTAGTGATAATTTAATAAAAAATATAAATAACAGTAAGGAAAGTAGTAAAGTCGAACGGGGCCGACTATATGATACTCTCCACCACTTTAGGTATATTCATCAGATGGAATCTTAGCAGACGTCGCATTTTTGAAGGACCTTTAACATGAAATTAAACATGTCATTGTGCAACCTTTACTAAGCCGATTTCATCGAAATTTGTCACATGTTAGGTGACACTTACACGTGTGCATTCGGCCACATTTTGAATTCTTCATTTACTTATAAATCCAAATATCGTGCAAATCGAAGGATATATAGGGTGCACCATTTACAAAAAATCGGACGAAAATATGAGTGCTATATATATTTTTTTTTCAATTTCAATAGGCCAAATAAATGAGCTGTGCCAAATTTCATCCAATTCGAATCAACTGTTTACAATTTAACATGTAGAGATGGACAGACGGACGGACATGCATAAATCGACTTAAAAGTTATTCTATGCATATTCTCAAAAGGAATCTCTTCCCTTTTGCCTGTTACAAACATATGCACAAAGACCTAATACCCTGTACCACAGTGTGGTGAAGGGTATAAATAGATAGAGTTTATTCGAACTAGTTCTGTCTGCAGGCAAATTTGACCCATAGCCCACATTTAATCGTTCTTTTTAATTGTTATTTATTTTGAAGATTTTAGTTCCTAAAATTTCCTTAATATACCGAATATTGGGGTTCCCTGACACATGGGCTAATATTTATGTTTATAGGCATATTTAGGATGATGAGGAAAAAATATAAAATTGCAGCCAAAACTTTTGAAAAACATGTCTAATATATAGAGCCAAAATCCTAACCGATATAGTCTATATTGCAGGTGATCTATTTCAATTCGTGGAGTATGCATATATTGGTAGAAGTGTTTGTGTAGGCCATCCAATTTCCGGTATCTTTAGGATTTTTGTCCTATTTGTTAATCGAAGTGGCTGTAATGTATGACATTGGGCATTCTTGATTGCCATAAATCCATACATTTCCAGCAAATTGTAAATATAAGTTCTGGTTTTGATGTTGTCTTTTTTAAGGATATAGCCTCATATAAGGTATATTGATGGTCCTAGGTGGGTTCTTCAAACGCTGTGGATATGACCGATATACATTTTCGGCTTTCGAAAGTAGCACCCATGGCGAGTATATTAAAAATACAGAAGGACAAATTTCCCATAGACCAATTTTTGTTTATCTTTTTTCTTGAATCGTAACTTAAGAAAGAAATCGATATTACCATAAACTACGGAGATGCAAAAAATCATTATACGTGGCAAAGATTCGATATATGTACATTTTTTATTTATGTAAGTTAATTTGTACTATTTTACCACATAAAATAATAGAAATATCCATATTACCCAGTTCTTGGAATGTTGCCATATCTTAGTTCATGTTTGAAAATGGACAATATTACATCACATCTATTGGTACCTAGGGATAACTCCAAAAAGATAGTTTGAGAAACCTTCATATTACCCATAATTGGGCAGTAGCTTTTGGGCGTTGAAATACGTTTTTCCCAGACTTTTGTTTTCCATAAACATTGCATTTGCTATTTTTAATCTGTATGATTATCAAAGACTTCAAATCAAAGAATTATATATTATATAAATCTTAACATATATTAATTATTTCAATAACTTGTTTCTTCTCTTCTTGCAGGGCATGCGTATGTCTGGTGAAAGTTCCGAAATAATGCATTTAACACAATTGGAACGTGAAAGTGCAGGGGCATATGCCTGTGGTGCAACAAATACGGAAGGTGAAACAAGAAGTTCCAGCATAACACTGAGAGTACAATGTAAGTAGAACCATAAAACTATTTTTTTTTTAAATTTGACAATAACTATACTAAAATTTTTTTCTTAAGGACCAAGGTTACAATATTAAATAGAATTTCGAATGTTTTGAGAAATTGGATATATTTTTGAGAACAAAAATGTAATATTACAGAAACCGAAAGTTAAAAGTTCTCACAGTATAAGGGCATATATATGATATTTTGAAAAGTAGTCGCATAATACATCCATCTAAATATACGATAAGTTTTCTATAGAAAGCATAGGGATATCCTGGAGTCCGTTCCCCGAAATAACATTTTTAAGAGTTTTTGTTGTCACGGAGAGGTATTAAAATTTATTAGAAAATGATACACAGTTCAGTTTGACTGTTATATATAGTGTTAGGTGTAGTGTTGATTATAATTAGCATTAAATAAGCAATGTTGCCGATATTTCCCTTCATTATGTACCACGAGTCATAATCGATAGAATACATTTTATTTCTTCATGTGTTTATGTTTTCCCTGAAATTACACCTATTATTACAAAATGCCCCTCAGATAAACAGATTAGTTAAACAGATTAGTGTTTAATAACAAAACACTTTTTTTAAGTGTTTTTCACTCCTCCCTATATATTTTTTCTCCAATCAATTCAATTAAACTTTCCCCTACCATTAGCTAACAAAAAATGCTTTCAAATTAAAAAACTAAACTTCAACTAATACTTTTCCACGAACTACATCGTAAATACGCAAGATTCTGTTAATACTTTCCTCAAAGTTATGAAAAGAGCAAGAAAAAAACATAAATAAAATACATACATAAATATTCTATTTCTATGTAGAACACATAGTTTTTTCCACGAACAAGACATAATACGAATATAATGCATAGATTTTTTACAATTTAAATGAAATTGCATGGAAGTGATGAATTACGCGTAAAACTGGGAATCTCTTAGTTTTCTTGGTTTTTTTTTCAAGGCAACATCGGCGGAAGAGAAAAAGACGACGCCATGAGAAGGAAAATAGTTTTTCCTCACGGATGCTAGTTTGCACATCTTTGACGTGCGTTCGGTGGTTCGTTCGTTCTTTCATTCTCAGACTTGGTCGATGTAAAACGTGCTGCAAATGATGACAACACATACACTCTCACACACACAGTGATACCAAATGTGTGGTATGGAAAATGAAGAAAATACTCAAGGTTGTGGACGAAAAGAACAAGAAATTGTGGGGAAATTTATTAGCAATATGAGATATTATATTAGGAATTGACGGGACAGAGATTAGGGGCTAGTATGTGAAATTCACTATTTTTTTCTAGTGAAGACTTTCTGGTGTTCTATAAGAAGACTTTCTGGTATTCTATAAGAAGGGCCTTTGGTCTTCTATAAGAAAGATTTTTGGTCTTTTATTAGAAGAAATTTTGGTTTTCTATAAGAAGACACTTTGATCTTCTAAAAGACATTCTTATCTTTTATAAGAAGACACTTTTGTCTTCTATAAGAATACCCTTTGGTCTTCTATGAAAAGACACTTTTGTCTTCTATAAGAATACCCTTTGTCTTCTATAAGAAGACACTTTGGTTTTCTATAAGAAGGCCTTTTGGTCTTCTACAAGACGACCTCCAATGAGAAGACCTTTCTGGTCTCCTAGGACAAGACCTTTCTGGTCTCCTATGAGAAGACCGTTCTGGACTTTCATAAGAAGACCTTTGTGGTCTTCTGTAAAAAGACCTTTGTGGTCTTCTAAAAAAAGACCTTTGTGGTCTTCTAAAAGAAGACCTTTGTGGTCTTCTAAAAGAAGACCTTTCTGGTCTTCTATTAGAAGACCTCTCTGGTCTTCTATTAGAAGACCTCTCTGGTCTTCTATTAGAAGACCTCTCTGGTCTTCTATAAGAAGACCTTTCTGGTCTTCTTATAGAAGACCAAAGGGTCTAACAGAGCAAAGTGTCTTCTCATAGAAGACCAGAAGGTCTTCTCATAGAAGACCAGAAGGTCTTCTCATAGGAGGTCTTCTCATAGAAGAGGTCTTCTCATAGAGGAGGTCAGGAGGTCTTCTATGAGAAGACCTCCTCGTCTTCTATGAGAAGACCTCCTCGTCTTCTATGAGAAGACCTCCTCGTCTTCTATGAGAAGACCTCCTCGTCTTCTATGAGAAGACCTCCTCGTCTTCTATGAGAAGACCTCCTGACCTCCTCTATGAGAAGACCTCTTCTATGAGAAGACCTCCTATGAGAAGACCTTCTGGACTTCTATGAGAAGACCTTCTGGTCTTCTGTGAGAAGACACTTTGCTCTGTTAGACCCTTTGGTCTTCTATAAGAATACCCTTTGGGCTTCTATAAGAAGACCCTTTGGTCTTCTATAACAATACCCTTTGGGCTTCTATAAGAAGACCCTTTTGTCTTCTATAAGAATACCCTTTGGTCTTCTATAAAAAGACCCTTTGGTTTTCTACAAGAAGACCCTTTGGTCTTCTATAAAAATACCCTTTGGTCTTCTATAAGAAGACCCTTTGAACTTTTATAAGAAAACCTCTTATTATTCTATAAGAATGTCTCATAGTCTTCTATAAGAATGCATCTTGATCTGCTATATGAAGAACTTCTTGGTCTCCTATAAGAAATTCCCTTGAACTTGGGAAGAGCCTTTTGTGTTTTTACAGGAAGACCATTTCGTCTCCTATAAGAAGAATTCTGCTATAAGAAAACCTGTAGAAAACCAACCTGCCTTGCAATATTTTTTCTACTGTCACCTTTACTCTAATGCTGGAGTATATCCGTTCCTCTGAATATTTAATAACAACCACGCAAGGAACTTTCCATATTTTCCATCACAATTCAAATCATCAACCGCACATTTGCATATGATAATAATGATGACAATGGGTGGCAGTGGAAATACGCCACAGAACAAAAAATTATAGAAAAAATTTCATATTTCCCCCCTCTTGTTGATAGAAACACGATATGCTTTCATCAATATGTACGTATTTGCTGTCAACGTTGTCGTTCGTTACGTTCACCAGAACTTTATTATTAAAACTTTTGGGTGCGTGTGTTTTTCCCCCGATTTTCATTGGAAAATCCAGTAACATAAATTCATACGTGCATAGTTACGAAATGCATCCGTCATTCGTTGTGGTGGTGAATTCATGGATCTGGGAAAATTGTTTTGCGTTCGATGCCTTCTATGGTTTGTTTCACCGCATCGATATTATTGAATCTATGGTAACACCACATATATTTTCAAGGCAATTTTAAACATGCATACACACTCATATGTTTTTCTATATCTGTGTACCCGTGTCAGTGTACCAGCAACAGCTAACATAGATTTTCTCCCAATCTATATATACGCTGTAGCCTCGAGTGGATGCCTGCGTTCGTTTCACAATTCAAATTCAAACTGATTTGGAAACTCAATGCGAATCAATTACAGATCTTTTTAACGAAACGCAAAATCTTATCATGTTCAATTCGTTTGGATGACACACAAACGCAAGCAAGCAGGCAGGCAATACGTTTTGGATATTGGGGTGGAATGGAAAATCAAGAAACAAATCTTGGAATTATCTTAATCAACCATTTACCTCTTAATTGAAAGATTTCCCCAATCAATCCCTACCCTAATACACATTCATATGTAAATCGATTTGAGCATGTAAACTTTGTTTGTCAGCGTAACTCCAATCCACACGCATACATACTTGCATTCATATACACATACACAAATGTCAAATACTGCTGTCGTTCTCCGTCTTCTTGTCTTTGACAGTAAATCGTATTCCCAAACGTTTGAAATACGACATTCAGCAAAAAGGGAATTTCGCAAGAACAACGGTATCAGTTTGAAAACGACAACTACAAATAAGAATAATAATAATAAACAACACCAGGGATAACCGAACGAGTCTATATGTAAATTTAGAGATAAAAGCAAAACCAAAAAGAAGTCGTAACATGTTCAGGATTTTTTGGGAACATATACATGGCCTATTTTGTAATCTCTTCGTGTGTTATCTTTTTACTGGTGATAGTATCTTAGGCCTTGTTGAAGGTTATCTTACCTTGAATTTATTTTGGGAAATGATGGAAAAATAATTGTTGTTTAAAAAAGATACTTTGCAAAAATGTATTAAAATTTAAGGATTATACTTGAAAAAGGTGTAAGAAAAACATACATTTTTCTATAGTTTCGAAATTCCAAACAGGTATCTGTGCTTAGATCTTCTATAAGAACAATAAATCGTCTATAAAAATATCCTTTGATTTTCTATACGGATTTTGTGATCTCCTATTATAAGATTTGCAGATCATCGAAAATATTATTTTGAATTTTTACGTGAAGCATCATATCCTCCTATCAAAGAACCCTTCGGGGCCCCTACTAGGAGATACTCAGGTCTTTCATAATTAAACTCTCTGGTCTCGTATAAGAAGCTTTCTTCCTTTCTAGAGAGAAATCATTCTGGACATTAATAAAAATTGACTAGAAACGGCGAGAATTGGCCAATGGGAGGTGTCGTGTTCCACCAGGACAACGCTAGGCCACACACATCATTAATGACTCAGCAGAAAATTCGGGAGCTTGATTGGGAAGTTTTAATGCATCCGCCATACAGCCCGGACTTGGAATCAAGTGATTATCATCTTTTTTCTTCCATTGCAAATTTTTTTTTAATGTAATCGCATTCTCATGCAATATTTTTTTTTTATTTTGGGTCTTTTTCTGATCTTTTCAAAGATTTTATAACCTCATTTGCTAAACGGATCAGGTTATAACTTTATTTTAGTCAATTAAAACCAGTGCAGTCGTTTTATACGATTATCCTTTCACCACACATTTTAGTTACAGCCTAAAACTATGCACCACACATTGCACTTAATGAATATTATTTTGTGAGAGTTCGTTTTGTATTTATTAACCCTTTGAACCCCGATTTTTTTAGTGACCATATAACTATTTTCTGTGCACAAATTTAATGCACCTATGCCAATTGAATTTGATATGA